CAGTATATATAGTGTTTTACCCACTGACCCCTTCCAGCTCTCCCCCTGAGTCCCCACATTCTATTATATCACTTTTATGCCTTTGTGTCCTCATAGCTTAGCTCCCACTTATAAGCCAGCGACATTTGTTCAAGAGATTGTCCTTTCCCCAATAAGTATTCTTGGCATCTTTGCCAACAATCGGATGGCTGTAAATAAGTGGATTAACTTCGGACTCTATTGTATTCCATCAGTCTTTGTGTCTGTTTTTATGCCCGTACCAAGCTGTTTTGGTTATTACAGCTTTGTAGTATATTTTGAGGCATGATTATTTGGTATCTCCAGAATTGTTCTTTTTACTCAGGATTGACTTGCCTATTTGGGGTCTTTTGTGGTTTCATACACATTTTAGGAATTTTTTTCTTCTATTTCTGTGAATGTCATTGGTATTTTGATAGGGATTGCATTAAAACTGTAGCTTGCTTCAGGTAGTATTGCTATGTTAATAATATACATTTTTCCAAATCTATGAGCATGGGATGTCTTTCCATTTGTTTGTATCTTCTTCAATATCTTTCATCAGTGTTTTGTAGTTTTTCTTGTAGACGTCTTTCACTTCCTTGATTAAATTTATTACTAGGTAGGTATTTTATTTTTTTAGTAGCTACCGTAAATGGGATTGCCTTCTTGATTTCTTTTTCTGCTAAGTTTGTTGTACATGTATGGAAATACTACTGATTTTTATATGTTAATTTTTTATCCTGCAACTTTACTGAATTTGTTTATCAGTTATAAGAATTCTTTGGCCGGGCGCGGTGGCTCAAGCCTGTAATCCCAGCACTTTGGGAGGCCGAGGCGGGTGGATCACGAGGTCAAGAGATCAAGACCATCCTGGTCAGCAAGGTGAAACCCCGTCTCTACTAAAAATACAAAAAAAAAGTTAGCTGGGCATGGTGGTGCGTGCCTGTAATCCCAGCTACTCAGGAGGCTGAGGCAGGAGAATTGCCTGAACCCAGGAGGCGGAGGTTGCGGTGAGCCGAGATCGCGCCATTGCACTCCAGCCTGGGTAACAAGAGCGAAACTCCGCCTCAAAAAAAAAAAAAAAAAAAAAAAAAAAAAAAAAAGAATTCTTTGGTAGAGTCTTTAGTTTTTTCTATATATATGATCCTGTCATCTGCAAACAGGGACAATTTGACTTCCTCATTTTCAACTTGCATGCCTTTTATTTCAAGTTCTTGCCTAATTGCTCTGGGTAGGACTTCTAGTACTATGTTGAATAAGAGTGATGAGAGTGGACATTCTTGTATTGTTCCAGTTCTCAGAGGAAAAACTTTCAGCTTTTCCCCATTCAGTAAGATGTTAGCTGTGGGGATTTTTTAACCTGTTTGAAAGTAGATTGTACTTTCTAATTGATTGTAGTCACTGTCTAATCTCTGTATTTCTTGGAAAGCACTCATTGCTAGTCTTTGAATTCTTAATATTTGTTTTGAAAAATAATTAAAAAAAATTTTTTTGTCTTGATTGAGTTATAATTTAAAAAATTTTTATACCCCTTAGATCTGCATGGTGTTTTTTACATAGTAAAACTTATTTGGCTTTTAGCAACTTGGTTCCCTGTTAATTTTTTACTTCCTTGAGTATAATTTTGCTGATGTTTTGGTTCTTATTGATAATTTTCTTTATTTGGAGTTTTATAGTTTATGTAAATGTTTTAATGGATTTTGAAAGGAGTTTCTTAGATACTTTATAAATAAATAAATTGGGGTGAGTTCTTGGTGGTATTACTGGCACTACCATCAGGAGGCCCTTCATATTTGAGAGGCCATATGGGGAGCCACCCTGAGCTATCCAACAGCCCAAACTCATGAGGGAGGTCAGGGCTAAACATGGTTTTGGAAATCATTGGCATTAGGGTCACAGTTGAGGCCTGGTGGCTGAGCAAGTCCTTTGAGGGAAAGCTTATAATATGTGGAGAAGATTGAGTTGATTCTCTTGAGGGCATTTGTGTTTAAAGGACATGAAGTCATAAAGGGGCCCATGAAAGGGGGCAGGGTCCTGGGACAGTGGAATGTTTCTGGCTATGCAGTCTGGGAGCAGAGGGTTTTCAAGGCTTTACAGAAGTCAGTGAGGATGAGGATCCCTGGCCTAGAAACTGGCTGTTTCTGGAGAAATGGGTTCAGGTGAGTGAGTGGTATGAACCTTCAAGCTAGTAGGCTGTCCACACCTGCAGACATGTGGCGGTGATAGGAAGGAGTGGGAAAGGTGTATGAGGCAGAGCAGGGTCAGGTTGGGGTGAAACTGAAAGCATGTGACAGGGAGAAGCCGCGGCAAAGGGTTAATGGATGAAGCATGTTCCACAGGAGCAGCACAGGGTGCACATGGAGAGAGTGAGTGGGGATGGGGCAGGAGTACCGAGCAGCAGGAGTTAGTGTGTGTGTGGCAAAGAGGATGGACATACAGGAAGATGGTTTGAAGTATAGTGAGGGAAATTGGGCAGGCTCCCTGGGCCTGGGGCTGGGCTTCTCAGTAGAGGAAAGCAGGCCTCTGCTAAGACCTCTGGAGTGGGGATGAGTCACTGCAGATATCTAGACTTTTAACAAAGCTTTGTCTTCGTCTTTCACGTGTTCTATGTTGTCTTCCTGGCTCTGACAAGAACATGCACCAGATTATGTGTGTTGAACTTGTTTTCAGGGCTTCATGGATGGATGGATGCACCTGCCATGGACATGGGATGTTGAATGCCTATTATTTTCAGAGTACAATGGGAGGCAAAGATGACTAATAGCTCTCCAAGCTTAAGAAGCTTACAAGAGCATCAGAATACCTAACGATAGTTGCTGACCAAGTTGTGTAGCTGGGTTGGGTAAACAAATACTTTGACAAAATTAAGATTCAAAATAGGCAGGGAGAGTGGGTTAAACAGTCCACTTAAGATGGCTACACTTCAACTGCTGTGTGAAGCATTCAAAAAAAAAATAAATAAATTGCATGAAGACTGGAGTTGGTGGACCTGATGTGGCAGGAGTTCACAGAAGAGGTCACTATATGGTCCAAGCCTAGTCTTGGCCTCCTTAGTGACCTAAAGCTTTGTATGTCAAGAGTAATAATGATAGCTCTTATTACCTACTATATCCTTAATGCCTGGCACCTTCACTACTGTAGCAACTTTTGGATCCTTATTATCAATCTCATGTGGTATCATTAGCTTGTTTTATTGACAAAATGACACAGGAAAATGAAACGGCTCATCAAATCACACAACTGCAAAGTAAGGGAGCCATGTTCTTTCCAAGCCACAAGACTTCAGTAAAACTTAGCTGCTTAAAAAGCTAATAAGCCTTGGTGTGCATTTATAAAAATAGCGTGTCCAGATCGTGGGGCTCCTTGGTGTCTCTGTGCTTGGCTTGCATGAGCCGGATCCCATCTGGAACAAATTGCTCATTTCTAGAGATCCCAGTATGAATAATGATGCTGTAGGTGTGAACAGACGGGGGCGCGGTGGGGAATAGTGGTGGACAGGGCCTGGACCCGTTACAAGAAGGTTCATGGAATTAAGGATGTAGTCATGTGGCAGGGGGAATTTACTGTGTCGCTTCTTAGCATAGAAAGAAATAGACTGAGTGGGATTTACATGGAGGCACATTTTGATTAGTTCAATTTATAATTGCAACAAGTTGGGATGTTAAAGAGTTTGGTGAAACAGGGATGATTAAATGCTTCTGTAGCCATACCAAAAAAAATTGCTGGGCAACTATTTAAAAAATGCTATTCTGCATACTGATAAAGACAGTTTATGTGCAAAAAGATTACATTATTGTATTCCATTAAAAATTACATATAGGTCATATTTACATAAACTCAGAAAACGTTTGCAACCAATAAGCAGGTCTCTTGTGGTGGAATTTCAGATAACTTTTAAGAACTTCTGTGTTTTAATTTTCTATATTTGACATGGAACTTGTGTAAGAAGAGATGGCAGCATAGTTACAGCTAACCAATAGTGAAACCAGCTCTAGCTGAAGCAGGAATGTCCTGGCCCTCCCCTCAGGCTCTGCAGATGGGGCCATCATGACAGGGGCTCTGGAAGGGGACAGAACTAGGTCTCTTCCAACTCAAGAAGGAAAACAGCCGGTTACAAAGCACAGTGTGACTCCACTTGTGTAAAACATATAAACATGTTTGAAGATGCCTGGATAGCCAGGTGTGCCAAGGCATTTCCAGTGGGTTCCTTTGCAAGCAAAGTAAAATGGAGATTAAAAACCTCTAAGCCCATCACCTGGCACTCATGATCATCAGGGGGTTTTCACTCAGATGCCCTCAGAGATGAACTTCCTCATCTAGAGTGACTTGGGATGTTGGGATATTGCTGAAGCCCTTATCAAACAGTTGGGCTGGTTGTCCCTCAAAGATGCTGGATCAATTTGTCAGATGTTTCAAGCCGGAGGAAGGGGGAGAGAGCGCTAGCTTGGTTCCCCCCACTCACTCACTCACTCTTCTTCCTCAATTCATATTCCCATTTCAAGAACAGCTATCTCCAGAACTGGCAATCTGAATTAAAGAAGGTAGCTCCAGGCATGGGATCTTACGGGAAACCTTACGGGATCAGCGGAATCTTGGGTTCCATATTGGCCACTCCCTACTAGACTTGCTATTCAAGCCATCAGAACCAAGCAGCATTCAGTGATCCTTCAGCAAACCTAACATCGGATGTTAATTTTAGTAGAAGGTGGGTATCTCCCAGTGGAAAGAAAAGAAAGGGACAAAAACGTAAAAGAAAACAGAGGAACAGAGATAAGAAAAAGGCCCTCTCTACTTTCCCCCTTTCGGTCCCGTTTTAACAGCTGACAGCCTTTGAACATTCCTTTATGTAGGCGGCAGAATGGACAGGTTCTGCCACTGCTATTAGTGAGGGCTTCATTTGTGCATCTACAACATACGGTGGGCAGGTGAAGTTACAGGGTACCTGACACATCACAGTCCAGAACTGGTTCAAGGAGGGGGAAAAAAGAGCCCACAATGAATTTGAGTGCAAAAAATAAATATAAAATTTATTAAAACACCCACAACATTTTAAAGATACCAGGAGTAATACAGTTCACAAACCCAGTTGTTTGTGTAAATTATAATAAAATACAAATCAAAAAGGATACATACTTGCAATTTCTAGGCACCCTAAATTAAATTTACTGAAACACTGGGGGAAAAAGGAGGGTAAGGAGGGGTAGCTCAGGAGGCAAACCAATAAAGTGGAAAGAAAAAAATATTAACAAAAAGGTAAAAATTATACAAAATAAAATTATCAGCATAAATTTACTGTACTAAGAATATCTACAGTTTAATACACATCCTATTGCCTTGAGACATTGCAAAAATCTACCATTCATCCATCAACCCCAGATAAAACTTCATTTCAAGTAGCCACAGTTTACAAAGTCAAGACGGAATATTCAAGTATGGTTGTTAAGTTCACCTCCATTGGAAGCCAAGTAACCAAACAGGAATTCAAAGAGATAAGAAATAAAACACATCAAAAAGCTACAGGGGTTCTAGATTAAGTCTAACGTATTAATATGCCACTATACGACCTGCCCTTGTTTCTTTGATTGGAATACATGAAAAAGAAGTGACATCACTCCTGTTTTTCTCCCCTCTTTTCCCCTCAAAAGAAAAAACAAAGTATTGAAACCAAGAACATTTGGAATGTTCAAATGAGCCAATTAGTTAATTAATTTAAATCCCCACGTGAAGAGTGATGAGTTACCCCTGAATGACGGGTAGTCAAAACGCGAAGAGGGAGCAAACAATACCACTACAAAAAGCATCCCTGATATCAGAATAGAAGCCAATGAGGAAGTAGGCCAAATCGCTCGCTGATTCTTAGGCAAAAAGCAACTTTAGACCTCGCATTTCTGTGCTGCGGTCTCTGCTCAGGGGAGAAGCCTATTGCTCTGCTCTTGCCTGCAGCTCTGCAGGAGGAAGGGCTGGGAGCACCAGAGGGGGCTGCCCCTCTCCCCGCACTTGCGGAGAAAACTGTGCACCTGGATGTGGGACTGTGTAACTTATGCTGGGGGTATGCACCTCAAAAATGTTTTGGTCCAGGGTATACTGAAGTTGGCCATGTACTACAGCAGAGGCGGCTGGCTAATAAAACTAGGTTTTGAGGGAGTCATTTCAAATGACAGCAACAATGACCGAGAAAGCTCAAGGAGATGGGCATAGAAAATTCACATTTTATTCAAAAGCAAAACTTAAAACATGAACTACAGCCAACCACACTCCTTCCTTTCGGCGTTCCGTTATGTTAACTGCTGAAGAATGAAAAACAAAACGACCCCAGATTTCTCAAGGTCAGGTACGTCGTGAGACGGACAACCTGCAGGTATCAGACCCTCATGGAATCTACTTTACTGAAGTTGTCATGATGTCCTGTTTTTGAGGTATTTAAAAAAATTATTGTGACAGTGGATGACACAAAATGGAGCTTCCTGTTGAGTTTTTAAAACATCAACTTCTGTGGACCCAAGAAGAAATTTAGGTTAGCACCAACTAAAAAGCAGCCTCAGTGGCATCGAGTGAGCAAAGAAAGCTCCTTCCTTTAGCCTGAACAGAATGAGTTACCAATGAGAGGCAGAAGCAACGCTGGGTTAGAGAATGAAGCCCCTGCCCACCACGGTCCCGGCCAGTGCCAGGGGAGGAAGGAGGTCCATCTGGTCTCCCTTGGTGTGCCCTTAGGACTCACAGAGATGTCTGCTTAGCACCCTGGGCTGCAGGAGAATCTGTGTCCCTGGCTATGAGGATGCCTATCATGCTAGGAGAGGCAGGAGTATCCAACTCCCCTTCCTCAAAAACAAAAACAAACAAAAAACCCTTTGCCCTTTCTTTCACATCAAGCCTGAGAAGACAGGTGTGGAACCAAACGCCTGCAAAGCCAGGCAGGCCCACTCCGGATCACAGCGAGGGAGCTGGCTGCCTTCTCGACTTGCTTTGTTTGGCCACCAAGGGAAGAACGATACAACAAAACACAACGCTGCTCAGAGCAGATTATAGCACGGTAAACGGGTCTAAGACAGCACCAAAAGAGGGGAGGGAAAACAGAAGCCAAGAGACTGGAGCCCACCTTGTTTTTGGTTGGTTGTGGTTTCAGAACGTTGATAGCACCTCAGCAAGACAGGATCAGGGACAGTCACATTAAAACACCATAGCACCATTTTATTTAGACTATTTCAATTCATAAAAATGCTTCCTAGTCCATAAAACACACTTCAGTAACAAAAGGAAAGAGATACTGGTTGAGGCACGTCAGGGATATCATATTGTTTTCCACCAGCTTTGCCTTGCTTTGAGATCTCATGGTGGTTAAACCTCTAGAAGCAAGTCTGGCTGGATTTCTCTCAATGAAATCAGGTTATCATTGACTCACTGTCAACCATCCTTGCACATCTGCTGCTGTGTGATACAAAGCAGTTAAGCTCTGCTACTTCTTTCCTTGCTTTAGCACTTTAAAAATCCCTTGCTCTGCAAACTACTGTTTCCAAAAGAGGCTGGTGGAAGGACCAAGAGGGGGCGGTGGGGTCTATCATCTCTTTCCACGCACACCATCGTCACCTTGGTGAGAAGGCAAAGCAGTACCCATGAAGCCGGGGTGTGGGAAACATTGGCCCTGCTAAAAACCAGACCCAAAACCAAAAACCAAAAAAACCCCCAAATCCATGCAACACCTTTAGTCAAGATTTCTGATGGTCAGATAATGATTTCTTGAGCTAGCACCAGTTATTTTGTGAGAACCTGCTGCGAAGCGATTTTTATTTTAAAAATCTCTTAGCACAGAACTTTACAAGTACTTCCCTTGCACGCGACAGGCAGGGAAAACAAAACACAGCAGAAAAGGAACCAAATGTTTTGCACTGCACGTGGATGGTGTCCGTGGACAGGGCACACTGGGGAGATGACTAAGACGCCATCGGTTTCCGTTGCTATAATATGACTCTTCGAACTTGGTCATGCTGTTAGGTTCTTTAGTTGCAATGGCTTTATTTTTCTTCTCATGATAAAAATGTCTGTTAATCATCTTTAGGATTTAAAAAATGATAGTGCCAGTAAAAAATAAAAATTTGATTTTTCTCTTTAAGAAACCTTCAGCAGCAAGGGGGGGGATAAAGAGCTGTGCATAGTTACTTTTTAAATATATGTCTAAAGCATGCTAATTTTAATGACTGAGATTTGAGGTAGGTTAGACATGTAGTGTACAAATCAGCATGGGCTTGAGCACGGTAATCACACCGCCTAACTCTGGAAACGCTATTCTGAGGGGAGTGGGGACATCCAATGGAGACTGCCTCTTGACTCACCTCTCAGCAGCCTATTTCCTACCCTAGAAACTGACGAACCAAGGCAGTTTGGCCTGGGGGACAGACATCGCATGCTTTTAGCTTGTATTGGTTTCTCCTTTCATCGAATGGCTTTCCTACCAAGAGGTGATGAGGGAAGAGTGTATTTCACACACATCAGGAAGATTCACACATGCCAAGTATCAGCATCACCTGGGTTACACTCGGGACCTTCCAAACCAACAGCCAACCTGGGGCTTCCATGGGTCATACAGACGGTCACATTCTCCACATGTTTCGTAAAATACTGTATTTCTTGCTTAAGATCATTTAAAATGAAGTTTTCAAGGCACCCCCGCATCTACCTAAGCACGGAGTCAAATGAGACCTGCATAAAAGTACTGATGCGATAAGCAAAATAGCATTTAAAGGACCCAATTTTTCCTCAAAACTAGAAAATTAGCATGCTCATTAAAGACTCTGCTTCCTTTAGCTTGTCAAACTGAAGGTCAGAGGTTTTCCTATAGATCTGAGTTCTGAATAATTCTAAGTCCTGATAAGCTCTTGGGTATTTATTTCAAAAGCAATAATATTTCATTTTTTGTCCTGTAAAATAAATGCAACTTTACAGAATATGGTAAAAGTGGAGGATAGACAAAGCACGTTAAATATTCAGCTACTATTTACAGTTTCTCCCACAATTACATGTTAAAACATATTTTTTTTTTCAAGTTGCTGTTTAAATCTAGGCAAAAGTGCTTAAAAAAATCTTTCACTATTTACAGTTAAAACCAGACCACATAAATGCTCAGGACATCTTACAACGACCCTCTGCCAGTGCTTCCAAACAGGTACAGTAAACACCCAGCAGGCCGGTTCTCAGCTCTTACACAAGGCACCCGGAAGCTCAGGAACTTGCCTCTAGCTGTCATCTGATTGTTAAACATGACTCATGAAGACCCATATCTGAATACAACTGCTCAGTAAATACCTGGTCATCTCAGGGCTTGGTGGTCATCCACTGTGTGGCCACATTTCCCCTCTGTGCGTCCTGATGAAGCCCCGCATTCACCACATCCACATCCACACGGGTAGCGTGAGATCATTTCTGCTAATATCACAAGAACAACCGACACTCCCAAGCCGTTTGACTTGGTGACAATGAGTGTTGCTCCCATCAGGCCCAACCTATCTCAACAATGTCACAAAAAGTAAGCACCACATTCTCATTTCAAAGAACCGAATGAATGCACCAGAATTTTAGAATGGGTATGTTCAAGTGGATGAAGAGAGGAGAAAGGAAAAAAATGATCAAATGGAGAAATGGCACCAATTAGGGAGGAAAATCATAGCAACCTGTTGAAAATGTTTGACTCTTGCACTTTAAAATTGTTAAGTGTAGGCCCCTGAACCCGATGATAGCATGGAGGAAGCAGGCTCAGGTATGAGGCATGCACCATTGTCCAATGTGGAAATGCAGGGATCAGGATAGATGCATTAACTGTTGTTACACTGGTCTGCTGAGCTCCTGTAGGATGTGACCTGCCCAAGAGTCAAGAAAGTCCCAGCACAACACTATACAGCACCAGGCTCCGCACAGCACCATGCACAGAGCACCACTGGCTTTTCACAGCTTGGGTTCAACTTCCTGTTTTTAAAGATACAGTAGCCCTTTTTCAGTATCAGCATAGACTTTGGGGGGCATTTTTTTTTTTAAAAAACTGCCACTAAGACAAATTCCTTCAGCCCAGCATGCATTGGGTTGGCAACATGGTAGGCGTGGCCCCTAAGAACCTTGCACTCCAGTTCCAGCGTGAGGTGCTGCCTAGTGAACCGTGACATCGTGTGACTCCATAAATAACGGACAGAGGATTCAGTGTGGAGACTAGCAAGCTTGAAGACATCTACTTCCAACCTGGTTTCTGGGGAAAGCTGTGCCAGCATCTCAGGGGGGCTGGCCTGGGGTGCATCTGCCCCTCGACTCCAAGCCAGGGACTGGAAAAGGGACCCCAGATGGTTTTCTGCAGACTCTCCCATCCTATCGGAGAGGACAGAGGCTGTCCTGAGGCTCCCTTCCCCGAAGGGAAGGTGTGTGTGTCGGGAGGGACGAACTGGGTGGCTACTGTCTGCGCTTGGCTCTCGAGGGGCAGATGGCTGAGGACTTTGCCAGTGCCCGAGGGGCTTGGCTCGCCGGGCCCAGCGAGACTGGGCGGGGGAGCACTGCTGGCCTTTCCTGCCCATCCTTTACCATTACTATTGTCGCTTTTTAAAAAATCCAATAAATACATTTTAAATGGAATTTAAAACTACTCCTTTGTGAAAGGACACTATAAACTTTCTTTCCATTATTGTGATATACAAGGATAGAGTTTTAAAAACAAAGAGAAAATAAAAGCCCCCCAAATAAGGGGGGGAAAACAACTTGGAGATATAAATATTAAGATCACGGAAAAAATCACCCGACAGCCGTAGTTTCTTCTTCAAAGTGCTGGGGAAGTGGGGGTAAGGGAGGGGCGGGTCAGTTCTGAGGTTTGGACCATAAATACATATATATGATATGCGCATCTATATATGTATATAGAGATAAAAAGACTTCTGCACCCCCAACCCGCCCCCAGGTATGAGGGCAAAAGCACCACAGAGACAGCTCGGGCCAGGCCCGACGCTGAGGTACGCTGGCTCCCTGGCACCTAGATCCAGCGGCTGTAGGGGCCAGTGACCTTCGTGTAGGCATAGGAGGACACGGTGACCGCCGAGTCTGTGGGCACGGCCAGCGCCTGCCGGGTGGGGACGATCCCCTTCTCTTTCTGCTGAGGCTCGGCGACCACGGCACCCCCCCACTTGCGCTTCTTCCCGTAGAGCTTGGCCTCCTGCTGGCCCAGGCCCAGCCGGGCGGCCTCCTCCCGCCGCGCCCGCGCCCTCTCCGCCAGCTGCTTCATCTTGGCCTCCCAGAGGGCCAGCCCGTGGTTGGGCTGGTTGAGGTTCTTGTGCTGGTAGAAGACCAGCGAGATTCGGGTGGGGTGGCAGCGGTTGGGCTTCTTGAGTGGTGTGGTGGCGTGCAGCTCCCGCCGGGCACACTCGATGAGGATGGAGCCGTGGGCCGGGGCCACGGCCACGCCGCCGATGTTCTCGTCCAGGAAGTTGTGTTCACTGTCCGACCACAGCTCCTCCTCCTCCTCCTCTGCGCCGCCACCAGCCTTCTCCTCCTTCACTGCTCCCTTGCTGGGGGGCTCCTCGGCCGCCCCCTCCTCCAGGCTGAAGGGATCCCACAGCTTCTCCTCAGACTTCAGGGCCCCAAACAGCTTTTCACTGGAGCCCAGGGGCATACCGAAGGACTGCCAGGCCTTGTCCAGCTGGCTGGCCCCTGCGGCTGGAATCCTGCCTTCCTCTCCTTTCATAGGGTTCCACAGCTTGTCTTGGAACCCAGGACCACCTTTCAGGGCTGAGTTGAAATCCCCGGCCCCCAACCCCCAGGGCTTCTCAGTCAGGCTGGGCCCAGCCAAGGCGGACGTGCTGTTCCCAAACTTGCAGGGGCTCCATGGTTTGCCTCGCAGCCGTCCTCCGGAGTGGGGAGCCGCCTGCTGCCCCTCGGTGGGGAACAGTCCCCACTGGCCATCTGTGAAGTGGGAGGGTGCCAGGCAGCTGGCCCCAAAGGAACTGAGCTTGTCGGGGATGATGGAAGGACTCTCCCCAGATGAGAACACACCCCAGCTGCCACCCACACTGTTAGTCCTCTTGGGGGACATGCTTGGGCCTCCTGAGTACTGTCCCCAAAGGTGACTGGGTCCCCCATTCTGAGACGCTTCGGGCAGAGGTGTCTTGCCCATCTTGCCAGTGTCTCTGGGCACAGGCTCGGCCTGGGTCAGCAGGTCTACTGGCTCTTGCTTGATGGATCTGTTGTAGCAACTGGAGCTCTGGGCAAAGGGGGAGGGGCCCCTGGACACTGAGTGGATTGGGTGGGCCTTGGGAAGCAGATACTCCTTGGGGCCTGGGTACGCAGGCTGCTGGTGGTGAGGAGTGGGGTGGTGGGTGTCCGTGGAAACAGCCTGGCTGGGCAGCTCGGCAAACTCAGCACCACCGTAGGCCGGGCTCAGGCTGTTGTGCAGAGCATGGAGGTCTGGCTTCTTCTCAAAACTGCCACTGCTGCCACTGTGCCCCCAGGCACCAGGACCTAGGAACTGAGAGGGGAAGACGGGGTTGCTGGATGGAAAGCCATAGTAGCCAAACGATGGGAGAGCGTACTTGGAGTGGAAGCCGTTGACGGAGGTCAGGCTGGGCTGTGCATAGTAGGAGTGGTAGGAGTATACGCTGTTCATGCTGTAAGGGTCGGAGGGCCGGCAGTTGCCCAGCACCGAGTAGCTCTCCACCACCGCGTTGCCACTGTACTTGAAGGAGCTGAAGTGATTCTGCGGCTCCACCTTGAGGGAGGGCTTCAGGCCTTGCTGGGACAATCCACCCTTCAGGGACAGGCCTGAGAAACAGAAGGCAAGATGGCAGAGGGGCAGACACCACCACCGCCTGGAGAGGCCCTGGGCGAGGGACTGGGGATGAACCCTCCCTCTTTTCCAGGGATGTTTTCCTCTTTCGGGACGGGCAGGTGAGGTGCTGAGGCATGTCCAGTCTGGACCTGGATGTGGGCCCCGCTCAGCACAGGCCTCCAGCCCCACTGGAGGTGGGAGGAGGCGAGCCCTGGTGGAAGCAGCTCATGCAGGGTCCACAGTCCCCCCGGCCCCCACCCTAAAGAACTCCAGAAGTTGCACTGAAGCACCACCACGCCCTGTGCCCAGCCCAGTGGGGATCACAGCAGGAACCAGGCCAGGAGACAAGAACTCAGATGCCTGCCGGCAACCATCTCTGCCCATAAGCCCCTCCGCCCTGGAGCACACCCACGTGTCCTGAAGTACTGCTACTCACCTCAGTATCTCAGAGAAGAACAAACTAGAGCTCAGAGGGGAGCCTCCGATTCTCCCAGGGGAGCAATCTAGAGAAACCCAGCGCTCCCCCTCTACCAAGCTCAGTTTCACGCAGATAACAAGTCCTGCTATACTTGAATCCCCACGGCCTCCCGTCAGGCTGGGTGTCCTGTGCCTGCTGCTGCTACCTTTCTGACAGTTAAGCAGAGGCCGCAGTTCCAGCGTGATGCAGGAGGATGCGTGGAAGCGCGAGGGCCCTCATGAGGACAGCACCAATGCCACCCCTGGCAGGCACCCTCCCCCACACACCTGGGTCCGACGTGACGCCCGCCAGCTCCAGGGCCTCCTGCTTGATCTTCTCGGGAGTGCTCAGCTTCTCCTTCTGAATCTTCTTCTTCTCAGCCGCTGCCTTTCTGGCTTCCAGCTGCCGCTGGCGGCAGGACTTTGCAGGCTCAGGCAGGCGCCGGACCTCGCGGGGGAAGGCGGTAAGCACCTGGATGGCTCCACTGCCCACCTTTGCATTCTGGTTCTCCTCACTACCGAACTCATCCGTGTTGGCCATCTTGTACAGCGGGAGAACATGCAGCTGCTCATCCTCGGGAATCTTGCCCACGCAGCGATTGTCTTCCTTGGTCAGGGTGCAGACCTGCCCCAAGCAGTGAGGGAGAGAGGACATGGGGTTGGGGGACCGAGTGCTGGCAGAGAGGGGTCTGAGCACCCCAAACTCATGACCTCATCTTTCCCCACACAATCCCAACACCAGCCACTACTACTTCTGAGAGTTTCTGGAAAGCACATTGATCTTGGTTCACAGGGCAACAGTACTGCCAGCATTTACAGTCCGCTCACCAACTTTCAAGGCACATTATCTCCTGTGATCCTAAGAAGGCTGAGAGGGGATGAGATGCCTGGCAAGGGGCCTGGCCAGGACGAGGAGGCCTGCTCTGCCCTCTGGCATAGCACTGAGGCCAGGGCACCACGTTGCCCAGCGGAGCTCGGACCATTCACCATTATCTTCCTTGTTCTAAACACAGCCTCCTTTTGTCCTTAAAAAAATGTTTCCTTTTTATGAAAAACCTCTATGTGCTGACTGTAGAAACTTTAGGCAAACAAAAAGGAAATAAAATCTCCCATCCCACCACCCAGAAGTAATCACTTTAAATACCAGGGTCATCTAATTGTGTACATACATAAGTACACAACTACTTTTTGGATATAAAGGGGATATTATGCAAATGGTCATATAATGGCTTCATTTTAACACAGTATATTTTCCTGTGCATTATTCTCCCCCAATATAAGAGTTGTATAATATTATTCTATTGTATCAATGTATTAGTTTAACTAATTAACAGATATTTCAACTTGTTTCCAATTTTTTATACCATAAACCATATTTTTCGCCGGGCGCGGTGGCTCAAGCCTGTAATCCCAGCACTTTGGGAGGCCGAGGCGGGTGGATCACGAGGTCAAGAGATCGAGACCATCCTGGTCAACATGGTGAAACCCCGTCTCTACTAAAAATACAAAAAACTAGCTGGGCATGGTGGCGCGTGCCTGTAATCCCAGCTACTCAGGAGGCTGAGGCAGGAGAATTGCCTGAGCCCAGGAGGCGGAGGTTGCGGTGAGCCGAGATCACGCCATTGCACTCCAGCCTGGGTAACAAGAGGGAAACTCCGTCTCAAAAAAAAAAAAAACAAAAAAAAAAACAGTATTTTTCAAAATACCCTTTTAGCTAAATTTTCTAAGATTCTTAATTCCTTAGAATGAATGTTAAGTAGAACTGCCACATTGCCCTCAAAAATGATTTGGTTTTTCACTCATACTAGCAGAATGTATTCTAACTTTCCTATATTTTTTCCACTAATTTCTTTAAAAACTTTTTCCTCATTGGTAAAATTGATTTTGTTGGTGTACATTTCTCAACAAGATTTGCTTTTTTTCCCCAAGTTTACTCTCTATGCTTGCGTTGACTGTATTTTCTTATTTTATATATTCCTGATGCTCTGGCATTTAAGGTCTTGATCCCAGACAGGCTGCCCCTCCCAGGGCTACTTAATTCCCAGAGACAGCAAATGACTCCCTGCAAGTGTGCCTTTGATATATTAACTAGCAAATCTAGAGCCCACATCCCCAGCCATCTCCTTTATCATACTCACACACCAAGCCAATATTTCCCTGGCCTTAAATTGTAGACGGCCATGAGGAACCATCCCATAGCTCAGAGGCGGCCAAAGTATTCAAACTGCCCAATCCTAAACATCCCCGGTGTAGCCACCCTGTGTCACTCATTCTCTCCTGCAAAACCCCACTAAAGACTCCAGGCCATGCTCCCCACTCTTCCTCTTCTGCTCCTGACTGGCCTGGTGCTTCCCCAAGTGGCCCCCGAAGCACGACCTGCCTCCTGTTTCTAGGATCTGAGTATAAACTTCCTTCCTATTATCCAGGTCTGCATTTCTTACCATACCCAATTAAAATAAATCCTTGGCCCATTTTAACACAATGCTCTCATTGTCCTCCTCCTCTTGTGAGTTTTATGACTTTTGCCCACACTATATATGACTAGTCATTTCTTAAATCATGAAGTCATCTTTGTATACGAAGGTTAATATACAAAGATGACTTCATGATTTAAGAAATCATGATTGTTTCTTTATCATGTGTTATAAATACCGTAGCAGTTGGAGCTCTGTGAATTATTAGCCACTGTCAAGTGTTTACCCAGACGTGTGTGTGTGTGCATGGGTATGGCTATATAAAACTACAAATGGGGTCACATGATTATGTACATGCTATTCTATAACCTGCTTTTCTTTTTCTTTTTTTTCTTGAGACAAAGTCTCACTCTACTGCACAGGCTGCAGTGCAGTGGCATGATCAGGACTCACAGCAGCCTCAACCTTCTGGGCTCAAGTGATCTTCCCACCTCAGTCAGCCTCCTGAGTAGCTGGGACTGCAGGCATGCATAACCATGCCCAGCAAATTTTTGGTAATTTTTGTAGAGACTGGGTTTTGCTATATTGCTCAGGCTGGTGGTCTAAAACCTCCTGGGCTCAAGTGAGCCTCCCACCTCTGCCTCCCAAAGTGCTGGGATTACAGGTGTGAGCCACCGTGCCCAGCCTGACCTGCTTTTCTTTTCTTTTTTTTTTTTTTTTTTTTTTTTGAGACAGAGTTTAGCTCTTGTTTCACAGGCTGGAGTGCAATGGCATGATCTTGGCTTACTGCAACCTCCACCTCCCGAGTTCAAGCAATTCTCCTGCCTCAGCTTCCTGAGTAGCTGAGATTACGGACACCTTACACCATGCTCAGCTAATTTTTTGTGTTTTTAGTAGAGACAGGGTTTCACCATGTTGGCCAGGATGGTCTCCAACTCCTGACATCAGGTGATCCACCGACCTCGGCCTTCCAAAGTGCTGGGATTACAGGCATGAGCCACCATGCCCAGCCTGACCTGCTTTTCTTAACTCAAGGATAATTCAAGTTATCTGGTTTGTACTGGCCTTTCGATTGTGATTCTGGTGTTTTACTACACTGAACAGAAACTTTGTATTTTTATGGCACTAACTTTATTAACCCTTTCACTTAGAGGCACTCTAAGTGAGTTTGGTGTCATGCCCTACCCCAGCTTGTTTCTTCCCAGACTGTGTGTGGGTCTTCGACTTCCTCTGCTCTGACCAGTCTCCTGTGTACTTTCTGGGTGAGACTGGGCATCAGCCCTGCTTCCTACCAGTCTGTCAGACCCAATGCTATCAACAACAGACCAAAGGGAAAACGCAAAGAATGAGATGTGGCAGAAGCTGTATTTCCCACAAGAGATACCTTACAGATATCAAAAGGTAAGGCTATCCTGATTTTAAAAAAAAAAAGTACATGGGCCGGGCGCGGTGGCTCAGCCTGTAATCCCAGCACTTTGGGAGGCCGAGGCGGGTGGATCACGAGGTCAAGAGATCGAGACCATCCCGGTCAACACGGTGAAACCCCGTCTCTACTAAAAATACAAAAAATTAGCTGGGCATGGTGGCGTGTGCCTGTAATCCCAGCTACTCAGGAGGCTGAGGCAGGAGAATTGCCTGAACCCAGGAGGCAGAGGTTGCGGTGAGCCGAGATCGCGCCATTGCACTCCAGCCTGGGGTAACAAGAGCGAAACTCCGTCTCAAAAAAAAAAAAAAAAGTACATGAATGGGATAGTCACAAAGATGAAATTAAAATGGTTAAGAAGAAAAAGGAAAAAATGTTCAACCTCTCTAGTAACAAAAGAAACACAAATTAAAATGAGATCGTATGCTTCTCACTCCGGCAGCAGGCAAAGATGAAAGAGACCACCTAAATCCAGTGTTGCCGAGCAAGCAGAATTAGTGCCCCAAGACTGTAAATGTAAACATCAATGCAATCTCAAGGAGGTTACTGTGCCACTGCACAAATACATGAGAAGAATGGCCTCTCCCTGTGGTTTACGGAAGGGAAATGGCTGAAAGCACTTACTGTCCATTGATAGGGGACTGGTTAAATAAATGATGGCAGAGCCGTATACACAGCCTCAGAAAATGAAGTCCATTGACACAGAAAGCTTGAGTTAAGAAAAGCAGGTCATAGAACAGCATGTATATATAATGTGACCCCATTAAGGTAAAATTTCATAAAGCCATATACATACACATACATATTTGGGTATCTGAATGGATGCTCACCAAACTGCTAACTAGTTATCTCTGAGATTTCAGGCAACCTTTTAAATATTATTTGAATTTTAAAAAAATGAGTAGTTACTGTTTAGGAAAAAATAATACTTTCCATTTTAGAAGAAAATTGTCCTTTTTTCCACCCCAAACTCTAGAAGCTCTGGGGTCCAGATCAACCTCATGGTGCTCTTGCTGTCACCCACCTCCCAGTGCCCCTGGGCTCTTCCGCCTCTCTAACCCTGTGGGCCTGCCCTTTCTGTGTATTTCACCTAGAAATCCTCACAACAGAGTGCTGGCAGGAGCTGCCCCTTCTTGCTTCTCAGTCTTGGACATGGGGATGGAAAACAAGCAGAGAAATGAAATCCTGAGGTGGGGCCATCAATCCCCAGGGGGCATGAGCTACAACTGGAATCTGGGAGCCCTCTTTCCAGGTGAATGTGCTGGTGCCCTTGCCTCTTCCTCAGTCCCTGGAAGCCCCGTCTGCCCAGAACATGGCTAAAAGAAGAGCAGAGAGCTAGCATTATCCCTTCAAGGAAGCCCCTACCCAAGTCCAAACCTCTCTATTCTCCCTCCGCACTCACTCTCCGGGTGATGGCGTCAGCCTCACGACTTTAACTATAAACCATGTGCTCTCCAGACCCTCCTGCCTCCTGCCTATCCACATCTCCACCTACACTTCTAGCAGGCGTCTTGAAACAGGATTCTTGATTTCTTACTCCTAAATTCAGCCTTTCCCTGCTACTCTACATCTCAGTCAATGTTCCAACACACCCAGACGCTCAAGCAAAAAGCCTTGGTGTGCTCCTCAAGTCCTGCTCATGTAACAGCTACACAGTCCTCTTGGTGGAGAAGCAGCATCCAAAATCTGTTCCATTAGCACACCCCCGCCCCCACTCCGGCCTGGACGGCTGCCCCAGCCTCCTCCCTGGCCTCCTTCCTCCTATTCCCTCCCGTCTACCTCACCCTGCCCCCACCATCACACACCTCATCCTCTAACTGCAGCAGCAAGAGTGTGTCCAACTTTACAATGCAATCTTACTGCTGCCCAGCTGAGAAACTCTCAACAGCTTCCCATCACACTTACAGCAAACCCCGCAACCCTCCCCTGGCCCAAGGCTCCCTGTGAGCTGGTCCCTGCCGGTCTCTCCAGTCCCGCTCCCCTACCCCCTTGCTTACTCCCTTCCCGTTGTTCCCTGAACACACACCCGGCCTGCTTCCCACTCGGAGCCTGTGTGCATGCTGGTCCCTCTGCTTGGAGCACTCTACCCCCAGACAGTGGCTCCCTCACTCTCTTGCACCACTCACATCTCAACTCAAACGTCCCCTCCTCAGAGCAGCCTCTCATCTAAAGTAGCATCTTCTGTCACTTTGTCCCTCACCCTGCTTGGCCCTCATTGCTACAGGACATTCCCTCATGTACTTGGGCAGGAACTTTGTTCATGTCATCCTGCAGCACGGAGAACAGTGCCTGGGCACAGCTGGTACTCAATACACATTTGTCCAAAGAATGAATCAAGGGTCTGTCTGCGTTTAAATCCAAGTATCCAGAGACCAGGACCCATGCTTTAGATACTGGGCACTCCAGGTGCCTGAGGGGCTGCATCCTCCAGCATCTCCCTAAGACACGGACACAAAGCCAGCCTTGTCTGTTCAAGGGTTTTCTGGTGAGGGTTTTCTCTGGGAGGTGAGCAGGAACAGGCTGTCTTGCAGGGCACCTTATAGAGTTCTGAGGGTCCTGTCTCCATGTCCCTTCCTACCCTCAGCCTGCCTTTCTGCACAGTCCACGCTGGGCTCCCTCTGAGTCGCCCCACAGGTGGGGCTGTGACAGGGCACAGGCTTCCTTACCACGGTGCACCCATTGTAGAGGTTATGCTGGTCCTTGTGGGCGTGGGCACAGAAGTCCATGCAGGCCGTGACCCCCGCGAAGGGCCGTCCTTCCTTCAGCCCCAGACGGCAGTCAATTGCTACTTCCTCGTTGGTCACCTGTGTAGATGGCCAAGGAGAGGTGCTCACATGACCTGAGGTGAGTGGCCCCGATTCTGCACCTGAGGAGGCTGGGTCTTGGAAGGAGGGATGTAAAGGATCATCGTCATCTTGCCCTTCGACTGCAGGAGGGAGGCTTTCTGGCTGAGAGGCCAGGCCCTAGCTCCAAAAAAGTTACTTTAGGGCTCCTGTAGGAATTACTTCCTTCTGGGTTATCCCAAGTCCCTTTGCCTCGTCTGAGAGATGCAGGTGTGACAGGGGAGAGAAACTCAAGCCTCACCAGTGGAAACCAGACCAGAGGAGGTGGCAGGTTACCAGGGGAAGGGGGAAGACCAGGATAGAAGAGGAATGGTGTGGAATGCAGGTAGCCTGGTGTAAAAAAGGGGTTTCAGCCGGGCGTGGTGGCTCACACCTGTAATCCCAGCACTTTCGGAGGCTGAGGCGGGTGGATCACGAAGTCAAGAGATTGAGACCATCCTGGCCAACATGGTGAAACCCTGTCTCTACTAAAAAAATACAAAAATTAGCTGGGTGTGGTGGCCCACGCCTGTAGTCACAGCTACTCAGGCTGAGGCAGGATAATTGCTTGAACCCAGGAGGCAGAGACTGCAGTGAGCCAAGATTGTGCCACTGCACTCCAGCCTGGCACCTGGCAACAGAGCAAGACTCTGTCTCAAAAAAAAAAGGCGGGGGGTGGGGGCGAAGTTTCATCAAAGAATGACATCATCACTTTACTTCTGGACTGGGCTCTTCCCATAAGAAAGCAAAAGAGCCCGCTCTCCCACTTCCCACCTTCAGAGCCTGAGCAGAGATGTGGACGGTGACATGTGGGCAGCAAAAGGCCCGGTGCCCATTACCTGGTTCTGATAGGCCTGAGGGGCTAGCCGCTTGTACAGAGGAGCGACTTCGGTGGCCAGGTCCTGGAAACTCTTCCGGAGCACTTCTTCCTGCGGAGAGAGGAGCAGTCACACATCCAGAGCAGCCCTACCTGGCAGACGCTGCACCCTGGAAATGGACTGGCATTCCTGAAGCATCGCGGGGGAGGCCGGGAGGGAGGTGTCATCAGGTGTCTTCCCAGCCTTTCCTCCAGGAGGGCTGTGGTGCCATGTCCATTTCACAACTGGGGACACTGAGGCTCCGAGGAAAAGCTGTGGAAGCCATGGCCTGAAGGTCTCGTCATCCTGACTGCTAAACTACTGCTCCTTTAGGCTCCCGCCCAGTTCAGCCCAGAACACATCAAACAGTTTCTTGCTTTTGAATGCTGAATACCCTAGGTCAAGGGTGTGGCACAGTGGGAATGAAAAAGCCATGAGGAACATGTGGCTCCTGCCTCCTAGGCTACAGACGGGAAGGATCCATGCTAGAAATTCCATAGCCAGGCTACAGACAGGCAGGATCCATGCTAGAAATTCCATAGCCAGCCCAGTCCAGAGCTTGCCACAAGCCACGGACACAGACAGACTTCAAAGCTCCAGCCGCTAGACTCATACTAGGTAATGTGCTACTTACAAGCCACATGTAGCTACAGAAATACAGATGAATTCTAACTTTTTTTTCTTTGAGACAGAGTCTCACTCTGTCACCCAGGCTAGAGTGCAGTGGCACGATCTTGGCTGACTGCAACCTCCACCTCCTGGGTTCAAGCGATTCTCCTGCCTCGGCCTCCCAAGTAGGTGGGATTGCAGGTGCCCCCAACCACACCCAGCTAATTTCTTTTATATTTTTACTAGGGACAGGGTTTTGCCTGAGGTCTTAAACTCCTGACCTCAGGTGATCTACCCGCCTCGGCCTCCCAAAGTGCTGGCATTACAGGTGTAAGCCACTGCGCCCGGGCTGAATTCTAATAAAAATTAAAGAAATTCAGTCCCTCAGTTGCACTAGTCCCATTTTAAATACTCAGCAGCCACCATGTGGCTCCTGTACGGACAGCAGAGAATGTTTCCTCCATCACAGAAAGTGTTGTAGGACAGCACTGCTCTACATGAAGCAGCAGCCCCTGGTCACATGTGATAAGGAGAGTTCCGGGAATCCACAGACTCTGGCCCTCCAAAAACAAGCAGGGCTTGAAGGACTCCTAGGACACCATGAGCACAGGCACAAAGGGTTTATGAAGAAGCAAGCAGGAAGAGAGGAGAGAGAAAAAGAACAAAGCACACAGAATGAGAAATGGAAGGTGGAGACCCACAGCTCAGCTGTCCATCCAGTGGGGTGACCAGGGCTGCCAGCCACTCTCGACCAGGCCACCTCCCTGCCTGCTGTCCAGATGCTGCCACCAGCACAGCACGCAGTGAGGCTTGTGAGTTCTAGGGACACATAGGCCTGGGTTTCAATCCTGCCTTCACCATCAGCCACATGGCCTTGAGGAAGCCATCTGCCTCATCTGCAAAGTGAGGGGTAACAGTGCCTTGGTCACTGGGGTGGGGGGTCATGAAATCATCTGAGAAACCTGTGAGGGGCTTAGCACAGTACTTAGCACATCGCAAGAGCACAGGAAGTGGCAGCTGGTAGAACAGGGAAAGGATTTGAGAGAAATTAAGCCAATATCTTTCCATTCCTGGTAGTTCGTAGCTTGGTGGCCCCAGGGCTCCATTTGTTGAAGCAACTGTATCTGCTGCTCATGGGGGCGGGTGGATCTTACCGTAAATACAAATCTAATAACAAATTACACAACAGTCTAAAACCCAGGTCTGGGGTAAATAAAGAGTTCTGAATTTTTAAATGCTTTCTTTTCCTTATGAGGACCTGAGCTTGGCAGTCAGAGCACAGCAGGTGACATGGGCGTTGGTGTGGAGAGGATGTCTGTGCGCCACGGAAGTGGGAAGCCCTTCTGGTACTAGGAGCTTGGAGAGATTTGGAAGGTTGACACTGAGTCCAGATATTTAGATATTGGTCTGTATCCTAGCAAAGGGAGCCAGCACCCCACCCGCTCAGTAGCTCAGGCAGGAGGGAGGTGAAATGGCAGACAGCCTGGACAGGCTTGCGTCTTCCTTGCATTTGGAGCTGAGTGGAGCCCACCTCCCGGGAGGGCCTTTACCATGCAGGCATCAGAGGAGAAACGGCAGGGAGGGGACCTGAGGGTGCCTTCCCTTGTTGTTTCGGGGCTGGGGGAGGCCCTGCAGGCAGGGGCACAGGTAAGAAGCCTGCAAAGAGGTGCTATACCTAGTGGTCATACTGTGTGGACGCCAGTCCAGAGCCCAGGGACCAGGCCAGGTTCCCGACATGGAGACTGCAAGGGCCCGGACGACTGCCCAGCGTCTGTCCAGCAGCCAGGCAGGGTGGCAGATGCCTCGGGAAGTACAGCAAAGACCCAGAGGGTGGCCCATGTGCCGGAGACCGCCTTTCCTGCTAAACCTCACACCCAGAAAGATGACTTGGGAAGATGAGGGAAATGACCTCTGAGAGGGCCAAATTCTCATGAGGAATTCGAACATGTATCTTCAATATCTGGAATATTTGCCTAAAAGAGATGGTTTAAATTGGAAGGGTCTGGGGCACCTGTAACTGCTAAGTCTAATTTTTCATACTTGGTGCTCTCCACACATCCCACACCTCTTATTTCACAGCAAGATAAGGTCAGCTTTTAAAAAAACTAAAACAAGTTCCACTTCCTGTGCATCTGAGTCATGGCGTGCCAGTCCTACCTCCCGCTGAACTATTAAGGGTGCCAGGTGAGAAAGGGTGGGAGGCAGGGTTCCCGCCCAGCTCTGCTCACCTCTTTGGGATTGTCCCCCGCGAGGCGGAACTTGCGAGGTGTCTTGCTCCGAGCATACTTGCAGCCGTTGAAGTACATGCTCCAGGAACAACCAAAGGAGAAGGAGGCACCACAGGTGTTGGGGTCTTTGCCTTGGCACGCGCAGGTCCGGCTGCAACATAACATCACGGGTCGGGCATACAGACACAACATCCCTTCATTCTGGAGTATTTCTCCTCCTCCAAGGGGTGGCCGTGCTGAACCCTGGCATCCACCAGCCTCCCAGTGGCTGGGACTCATCCTTCTCTGCCCCCAACCTCTTTCTCAAGTTTCTTTGAGTACAATGCCAGCTCCAAGCAGCCTCTTCTGCCCCCACCAGTGAGAACCTACAGGTCGAACACTAAGTCTTGCTGGGAGCAGCACATGGGTTTACTGAAGTAAGGGGGAAGAATCTGGTAAAAACGCATGAAGGTTTATACTTTCCCTTAACTCTAATATCTTAACCAGCTCCAACATACACCATACGAACAGGGAAATGATGTGAGCCCCAGGATTTGGGCGTGTCTATTTCCTATAGCCCAGATGTTAACAGGCTTTTCTACAAAGTATATACTAAGATGAAAATTACCGCTTAATACAATCAGGAAAAACAACCCAAATGTCCCTCACTGGGGAATGAATAAGCGAATTGTGATAGATCCACACAGTGGATTATGACTCAGTGATAAAAAGGAATGAGCTACTGACACACACAACACAGAAGAACACCGAAAACACTACATTTAACGGAAGAAGCCAGGCTCGGAAAGCTACACCCTGTACGATCCCATTTATATGACATTCTTGCAGAGGCAAACCTACAGGAACAGGAAACAAGACTGCTGGCCGCCCAGGGCTAGGGGAGGGCTTACTGATAAAGGGCACGGGAGACTTGCAGGGAAGATGAAACTGTTCTGTATCTTTTTATTTTTGGGACGGAGTCTCATTCTGTTGCTCAGGCTTGTGCAGTGGCGCAATCTCGGCTCACTGAAACCTCTGCCTCCCGGGTTAAAGTGATTCTCGTGCCTCAGCCTCCTGAGTAGCTGGGATTACAGGCATGTGCCAACATGCCTGGCTAATTTTTGTATTTTTTAGTAAAGATGGGGTTTCGCCACGTTGGCCAGGCTAGTCTCGAATTCCTGGCCTCAGGCAATCCACTGGCCTCAGCCTCCCAAAGTGCTGGGATTACAGGCATGAGCCACCAGGCCCGGCCCTGTTATGTATCTTGACAGTGGTGGTGGTAGCTACGTGACTGTAAACATTTGTCAAAACTGTCCGAACTATATACCTAAAAGGATGAATTTCATTGTAAATAAATATACCTTCATTTTTTTAAATGGGAAAAACTCTAATTAAAGGGCAGGTTTTGTAAATACCATTGATACCTTCTATCTCTGGGGCACATGTACTTCACACTTGCTAACATCACTAGTGGCCAGTACATCCACCTGGGGTTTAACAGCGAAGTCAAGTTAGCAGACCCTCCGAAGCCTGAGCTAGAACCCAGCTCAAGCAAGAGCTGTGGATAAACCTTCCTCAACCACAGTCCTAACTGTGCAGGACAAACAGTGCTGTAGAGATGGCAGGAGCCTTCCCCGGGGTTGCCTGAAGTCTCCTGTGATCCCATGGGTGGGCCCTGGCCCTGTAGCCCCCCGCTACGTACTCATCGTTGAGGCCGCATCTCCGGCTGGTGGGGTTCCCATACTTCCGGAGGGTGTCGGTGAGCTCCTGGTAGAGGGTGTCGCCGAGGCTACGGGGGATGCCCTCCCAGGCCAGGATGAGGATGACGATCACGGCATTCTGACAATGGTGGCCCGCCCGATGCCGCACCAGGCAGAGCAGCTTCTCCTCCAGCGTGTGCCTGCGGATCACCTGTGGGGACGCAGGGTGTGAGAGGCAGGAGCCAGGCACCTGTGCTCCTCTGCATGGTGCCATCCCTCCCTCTGTCACACGGACCCAGGGCGCAGGTCTTTAGGGCAAGGTCCTAGGGGTGTCATGCTCTGACGACAACAACCTTACAGGCTGAGACCATTATAGTTAGGGGACAAAAACATAAATGTAATTTTTTTTTTGAGAGTGAAATAAAAAATAATTAGCACAAAGTCTAAGTTGCTGATGACTTACATAGGCTTAGGAATAAAAATACATGGATAAACACTGTAAGCCAAAATACAGTCCGATTTTTATGTTATCCTAAAACATTTGCAGAGAAAACGCTGCATACCTGCGTGTTTTAGTTAAAAAGCAAGGGGTTTGGCACTATGAAAAACAGTCTGGCAGCTTCTCCAAAAACTAAACATAGGATTACCATATGATCCAGCCTGGGCAATAAGAGCGAAACTCCATCTCAAAAAAAAAGTGTTTCATGCTTAGGCAGGGCAGAAAGTCGGGAAAAGGGCAAGATGGGGAGACCACCGGGTACACCACTGACATAACACAAGAAAAATGAATAAAATCCTAACCACGGCAGCGGGTAAGGAAGCGGGAGAAGGAATGGATTCCTGATGCTGAGGGACGAGGAAAAACCCTGAGTGACTGGGTGTGGTTCACTGGTGAGTTAACTGGGAGCACCCTGAGGCTGAGGTACCTTAGAGCAGGGGTCCCTGACCCCTGGGTACAGACCGGTACTGGGTCCGTGGCCTGTTAGGAACTGGGCTGCATAGCAGGAGGTGAGCAGCAGGTGAGAGGGTATTACCGCCTGAGGTCCACCTCCTGTCAGATCAGCAGTGGCTTTAAGTCCTTATAGGAGCAGGAACCCTGCTGTGAGCTGCACACGCGATGGACCTAGGTTGTGTGCTCCTTATGAGAATCTAATACCTGAATTGTCTTCCACAAAACCAGTCCCTGGTGCCAAAAAGGTTGGAGACCACTGCCTTAGAGCACCTGAGTGGTCTCTAAGGATGCCCCCCAGAGTAGGTCTGGAGGTCAGGAGATGCTGCGTTGCAGACAGACCTGGTCACGAGTGGATCCGTGCTGGGAGACACTGAATGGGGTGGCCAAGCAAGCACTACAAGTGAGGAAGGCGGGCCGGATGCAAGACTAGGGGGTGGTGTGGACTGCAGCAAAGTGAAAAGCATCTGCCCCGCCCACCGGGGGAAGCCAGGCCTTCTTGCCATCAACTGCCGCCTGGGGGAAATTCCAGCCCAGTGAGGTTAATTCCTTCAGTTTTGCAAGAAAAAAATGGAATTCCAGATTTGTATATAAAATCCCTCTGCAAAAACATGAGTGTTCCATTATTTTTTTTTTCCTGTGGTAAAATATACAAAAATTTACCATTTTAATCATTTCAAAGTACACAGTTGAATGGCATTAGGTACCTTCACATTAGGTATTGTTCATATCGTGTGCAGCAATCACTAACCACCCATCTCTGAAATTTTTTCATCTTGCAAAACAAACTCTGTTCATTGAAACTTTCCTTTCTCCCCTCCTGTAACTACTATTTTACTTTCTGCCTCTGTTTCTTGTTTTGTTTTCCTTTTTGAGATGGAGTCTCACTCTGTTGCCCAGGCTGGAGTGCAGTAGCGTGATCTCGGCTCACTGAAACCTCTGCCTCCCAGGCTCAAGCAATTCTCCCCACTAACAGTCTCCAGAATAGCTGAGATTACAAGCACATGCTACCATGCCTGGCTAATTTTTCGTATTTTTAGTAGAAACAGGGTCTCCTCATGCTGGGCAGGCTGGTGTCGAACTCCTGCCCTCAGGTGATCTGCCTGCCTTGGTCTCCCAAAGTGAGACCCTGTGCCTGGCCTACTTTGTGCCTCTGAATTTAACTGTTCTAGGTACCTCATGTAAATGGAATCATACAGGATTTATCCTTTCATGACTTGCTTATTTCACTTAGTGGATAGTCCTACGCATGTTGTAGCATGTGTCAGAATTTTCTTCAGACTCTGAAAGGATACTCTGCAGGCTGAACAAAACACATCTCTGGCCATGAATTCCTGTTCTGAGACACAGTGCTTCCCCACTAAAGCATTAATTATATCATTCTTTTGAAATGTGTATTTTGGGTATCAGTAACACCTCAACATGATATTACATCAGATACTGTGCTAGAACTCCCTGCATGATTGCCTGGCTTCCTGCAGATTAGGCTGAGTGCATCACGGGCATCGACACACATCTGTGGACGCTGATAAGGCGGCAGGCTCTGTGACTAGGGTTTGCGAGGCACTACGGTTAACTTCCACTCCCGGCCAGGGCAACGCAGCCAATCACACTCATGGGAGAGGCGTTCAGAGCACAAAAGTCACCCAACCAGTCGTGGCTGTGACTGAGGCTGTGCCATTCTGGTTTCCCAAATGGCAAACACACAATGTCATTAGACACAAGCAGATAGTTCTCTGTGGCCCATCCTCACAGGCCTGCAAGCGCATTAGAAAAAAAACTAAGAAAACAGCACAGAAGAGCTCCCTGCCCACACTCCTATGAAGGAGACTGGTAGGGCAGACTGCCAAAGTCAAAGGTGGACAGAGGCACACATACATCCATACCTGAGCAGAACAACAGAGACAGCTCCAACTCGGCCACAGAATCCTCAACAGCTCATCCAGCTTCTGGGCTGGAATTTGCTGAGCACCAGATGAAGGGTAACACAACCCCCAGCAGAACTCCAACCCTGTCTTCCCATAGCTCACCCACGGTGCTTGGTTCTAACACATGCAGCTTCCTAAGTCTGCTTCACTGTGTCCCCAGCAAGCCTACAAATACCTGCCTTCTGACTTCTGTGACCTTTACACACTGGTCTGGGCATCATTTCTGGGGTTCTTTTCCCAGAGCCCATCTCGCTGTCCCAGAGGTTGTCTTTGGCATGCCTCTGTTGTTCTGAGCCTTCAGAGTGCAAAACCGGGACATGCCTGGAATCTTCCATATTTTGTACAGGCCACGTTAAAATCACAGATGACCAGAGGGCTCTCTGGGCTAACGCACTGCTTCTTAGGGCATTCTTTCAACACATATTTGCTGGGCACTCATGGTGTGCCTTGACTGTGTAAGTCAAGTGCAAAACGTATAAGGAACACTGCTTTAAGCTGAAGGTATTAATTGGGGGCTTGGGAGAGGCTGAAACACAGACACGAATCCTGGTTGGAAAACAAAAGCCAGGCTCTGGACACGGGACCAGGAGGTGCTGGATGCCTGAACTCACCCATGGCCGCCGAGCTGGCTCTAGGCTCCTGACACTGCACTGCCACTGAGAATAATCCATTCTTCTAAGCATCTGTGGGTCACTTTCCCAGTGTGGCAGGGAGAAGGAGCACCCAAACCCTCTCCAACTTAGAAAGGAGGTGGAATTCTTTAAACTGAGCCTTCTCACAAAAATACATAGGGTATTTGGGAGCTGTGCAGCCAAAAGAAAACCCCAGAAATCCACCACACTAAAGGAGATGGCTAGAAAAGAAAAACAAAGCAGCCCTCAGTACTGCCGTTTTCTTGCCACTACAATAGTTCCGTGATTGACCACCCATTCGCTCCTTCCATAAAAAATGATCTTTCCTCTTCTTTTCTCTTCACTCATCAGACATGGGAAGAGTTCCACCCTCTGCAAACATTATCACCATGCATTCCCTTCTATGCTAATCCACCAGGGCTCGGTGACACCCACAAGCTGTTCCCTCCTTTCCCTCCTTGGATGTGACCTCCAGTTCACTGCACCCCATGCACCCGGCTCTGGGCATCTGTCCACAGACCCCAGAGCAATGGCATACTGGGGACCTAGTTTCTGCCTCTCCAGCCTCCCGTCTTCCTCTGCCAGCTCCAAGAACTGGCCCTGGTCTCCAGGCACACATGCTCTTCCCAGCCCTCAGTGGGGCTACAGGGGCCCTGGCCAGGGCTTAGCGCTGTATCTGGGGTCTACAAATGCATCTTCTTTAATGCCACCCTCAGGGCCAGCTGTTCTTTAAGGGGCCAACTTTACTGAAACTGGAAGAGTCTCCAACTCTACCTATGCCCCAAGATTTTCATTTTTATGTCCAAGACTTTGGAGTTCCTCAACAACTGCATGAATTAGCAGGCAAAAGGGGCAGCTGTCACTCTATGGCTGATGTCACTTCTCTGATGGGTTCTCTGGGGAGGTAACACCTCACCATGATCTGCCACATCAGACCTCTCACTGCAGTGACCACCTCTCATGAGGGCAGGGGTAGCCTGCTTCTTCATACTTGTGAATACATTAAGTGGTTCCAGGTTCTTTGGTTGTATATTATCCTGCAATGCTGACTAAAAATTGCTAAAAATAGTAAGCTTGGTAGTTCAAGTTCAGACACTTTTTTTTCATCAAACACAAAGACGCAAAGGCACAGGGTGTAGCCCAGGTAAAAATGGGCGTGTGCACAGATGGACATGTGCTGACAGGAGTTATCTTACCAGCCTCCCTCACACAGTCAGCCATGGGTCTGTCCACCCAGCCTCTCTGCCTCTGGGCACGTAAGTCTCCTCACTGGGAATGCTTCCCCCCTCTCCTCAGCCTGACTAATAACGACCCAGTATTCACAGCCCCCTGCACTCCCACCTAGCCTAAGCATTCCTCCTCCTGTGAACCACAGCACCATGTCTGCCTCTCAATCATCCCCGTCTCCATGACTTTATGTCACGTGTCTCTGGAGCACAAACAGCTTGAACACAGGGACGGAGCCCTCATCTTCCACCCATACCCCCCTGCCCAATACAGCACGAGGCTGAGCTTATAGGCACCCGAGGAACCTGGCTGCTCCTTCTCAGCATTTGTTCTGCAGAGGCAGATGCTCTGCTATTTAAAGATCTCCCTGTGGACTGGGAGGGCAAGGTCAGAAGGACTCTGGTGACTTAGGGTCTGAGTTACTGACATTCTCCCTGCAGAGATGTCCAGGCTGCCTGGTAGGAAAGTCTGTAGAAGCAGGACAGGGGCAAGACTGGCCCATAGTGCTGCCTGGAGGCCTGGCCTCTTCCCTCAGGTTGGACCTCAGCATGCCAGCCTTCAGGTTTGCCCCTGGCTTCCAGGCAGCAGACAGAAGCACTGGCAGCTCCAGGGCACATGGAAGGGGATAAGGAGGCTGACAGTCCACAGGGGGGCCCAGCATGGAGTCAAGACAGTATCCCAGCTTCCCCCTTCCTATCCCTCCAGCCCTGAGCCATGGGGAAAGAATGAGCCGAGTGTGAAGACTAATGTACTTCCAAGGCCGGCCCAAGACCCAGGGACTGGCATTTAAACAGGATGAGGACAAACAGCTGAGGCTGGGAGAAATGACCCCAACCCTCAGCCAGATTCCAGTTCCAAGGCTCCCCTGGATTGTCAACATGTCGTCTCCTACACACACATACACCTGGCCCCTGCCCCTGCCCCGGCCCCCACCCCCACCCCGACCCGCTCAGCTACATGCAGCAAGGCGAACCAGGCACAGCCATGGCTCTTGGGTGGGCTCAACACTCACCCACTTTGCAATGGGGCAGCCGCGGGAGCTCTTTCCCTCCTTCCCCGTGTAGATGACCTTCTCGATCCGGATGGCTTTCCCCTTCTCTCCATACCTGAAGAGGGAGACAGAAGCCACCATTAACACAGCAGAACCCCAAAGGAGCACAACTTTCGATCAGAAGGCAGCCTCAGCGTGCTTTTGTTTGAGTTTCTGGTTACTGTCGGGGCAACAGAGAAGAAAAAGGTTTAAATGTCATTTGGTACCTAAAGGCTCTGGAGACACAGTGGCCACTTCTGGGCTTCCAGGTTCACTTGCTCCTTCTCTGCTCCTGTCCATCGGGCCCCCTCTGATCCAGGGCAGAAGGACAGTCAAGCAGAATGTCCCTGATTGTTACCTCCGAGCTCCAGAAGGGAACTGAAACCAAAGGCTAAACACAGGTATTTGTAACCAGCCCCGTTAGACGAGTCACCCTGAGAGTTAGCTATTTATAAATAAAATAAAATAAATGGGAGAACCTTTATTGTTCTCTTTGAATAATCCCCAGCTGACATTGGACCATGATGAGGACAAACAGCAGAGGCCAAGGAGAAGCTGCTCTACCAAGCCCGAACACCAGCTCTGAGCTTCCCCTGGACAGTACACACATCTGGTTCCTGCACACGCCACCTGCCCTGCCCACCGCCCCCCCCACACACTCAGGGCTTTAGAATCCCTGCTCCCTAGGACTGTCTAAACAACCACACTATATTCAGTGATGGTGCAACTACGGCCCCTGGAGCTGAAATGACTTGTCCAAGGCCACACAACTACAAAGAGGCAGCAGTGGTCTAAGCACAGGATATCAGACAGACTAAGTTTGAGTGCCAGCCCTGCCACCTTCTTGCTACATAACTGTGGCCATATTACTAAACTTTTCTAAGCCTCAGTTTTCTCATCTGTAAAATGGAGACTAAAATGGTCCCTGCCTCCTGGGCTTGGAAAGATCAAACAATAGTCCACAGGGAGTATATTATTTAAAGTGCTTTGAAGTTTCTGGCATGAAAGAAGAGCTCAATAAATAGTAATTATTTTTAATAATGTAAAAGCCATCTTACAGAATCTTATTTTTAACAGTGTTTTAGTTTCAGGTGCAATGTCTTATCACCTGCAGATAATGGCCATTTGCCACCTACTCCTTTCCACTCTTCATCTCTCTAGCCTGACTCTTGTCTCTCTGAACTGGCCATGTGCTCTCTGAAGAGCATGCAGGAATCTCTGTTTATTTCCTGACTTTACTGAAAATGTTTCCAACAATTCATCTCTGAACAGGAAACTGGCTAACTTTGGGAAAGAGACAGATTTCCTTACTTTGAAGGATGCCACTAAGAATCTCCTGTCCTAAGGACTTTTAATCAAGAATTACTTTTATAAAATACATTTTTAACACATAAGGAGACAGATGATTGAATGTTTTTCCTTTGATCAATTAACATAGCATGCTATTTTAACAGCTTGTCTGAATCTAACTACCCTTGTATTTCTGTAATAAATTCAATTTGATCATGGCATGTTATTTTAATATACTATTTAATAGAGCATTAACGTTATCATAGCTTCTAGAGTTCAGCATACCCATATTCTTTATCTTATCCACTCCACTTCTAGCAACCTCTATCCCAGAAATAACTGTACAAATGCACAAAGCTTTAGGAACAAAACTAATTCACTGTCTCATCAACAACAGAAAAATGAAAAAAAACTTAAATATCTAACATGAGACTAGTTAAATAAATTATAATAAATTTCAACAAAAAAATACAGTTTTCATGCAATGTAAAACCATGTCCCATCAAAAATGATTAGGTTTTGTGTCCTGACATAGGAAGAAATTAAGTGGGGGGGGGGGGGGGAAGGCAAGCTACAGACAGTGGGTATATTATGATGGACCCCATTTGGTTTAAAACTTCTCTATATACATATTAATACATTTATCTTTGTGTATATACATATATATACCTTTGTAAATGCTTAGAAAATACTGAAAGGTAAGCATCAAACTTTAGAGCTTCATTCACTCTTTAGACTTCTCTTAAAGCCTTCGTTTCATTTTTATAATTGAAAAAGAGAACAGAGTTTAAATGTTTTTAATTAATGAATTAATTCTTTAAAACAAGCTCTTGTCAGGCCACAAAGATTTTTTTTTTTAAATGCTGATCTAAGGTTCCTCCGAGTTCCATGTTCTCTATTTCACTCAAGACCTTAGCAGAAGCTGAAAAGTTTCTGATAACTACATTAAAATTCTAAGGCTCTTTTCGTGCCTTATAGAAAGTGTTGGGAGACAGGACTCAGGAGTTTATATAGCGTGGTCTGCATGAAGAGGAAAAGATCACATAATGCTGCTCTTGTCTGGTTCCTGAACAATTTTCATTTCAACAAGCATTTATCAGGAAGCCACCCACAAGGGCAGGGCCTGGGCCCCTGGTGTGTCCTGGTGATCCCTGTCAGGAGAACAGCCTGAGGTGACCGCACGCCTCTCGCCGAGACGGAAGCACGATCGAGTTCCTCGCAGGAGGGTGAGCTGAGGACACTGGCGCCACTTTCCAACCAGGTCCTTCCCCACCATTCCGCCCCTGTGAGAAATGTGACCTGCAGTGAACCTCGAATTAGACAAATAAGAGGGCCAGGCACTGTCTGATCAGCTAGACTTTAAAAACCAAAACAGACCAAACCAAACCAAAACAAAACAGAACTGTCTCTTTGTGTTTAAAGACAGCCAATCAACTCTCCCTTTAGCTCTTTCTTCTTAAGTGTCTTACTTTTTGGCCTATCATGAAGAGGCCCTTCTAGTATTCAGATTAACTATTAGACCCTAAACCAGGCGTCCCCAAACTACAGCCCGCGGGCCGCATGCGGCCCCCTGAGGCCATTTATCCGGCCCCCCGCCGCACTTCAGGAAGGGGCACCTCCTTCATTGGTGGTCAGTGAGAGGAGCACAGTATGTGGCGGCACTCCAACGGTCTGAGGGACAGTGAACTGGCCCCCTGTGTAAAAAGTTTGGGGACGCCTGCCCTAAACCAAGTCTGCATAGATAGCCTAAAAACTTATTCTAAAGGATAACTGATCATCCAAGCCAGTGGCTCTACAAGGGTGGTCCCAGGGCCAGCAGCATCAGCATCCCCTAGAAATCTGCTAGGAATGGAACATAAATTCTCAGGTCCCATCCCAGACCTGCTGAGTCAGAACCTCAGGGGAGACCCAGTCATCTGTGCTTTAACAAACACTCTGGAGACTGAGGCCCAGTGAAGTCTCACGACTACTGCTCTAAAGCTTTACTTTTCCAGGATTGTCTCTATCGCACAGTAACGAGACCAGCTCTCCCGAAGCTCAGAGAACCTGCTAGTGCACTGTTGGTTCATTGTTTCTGGAACAAGCATTTAATGAACTCCTAGGCTGCAGAGAATCTCCTTCCCAGACAGAGCACACGAGGCTCTGTGCTGTGCACCCGTCTCAGATACGGGTTTGACAACTGACTCCAATTATCTATGAAGATAAGGGCCTAGATACCCACAAAGCATGAAGCCCATAAATAAGTTGAGATATTTTAGGATTTGCTTTAGACCTTCCCCTCCTTTCTCCAAATCTTTACAAGAGCTAAAAAAACCAACTTTCCCTGATTTCAGTTTATTTTCCCTCCCTGCCTTCAGCCAACTCCTGACAGCAGAGCAGTCCTGAAGAGAAAGGGTTGAGGACGAATGTAGGCAAAGAGACAGCCTAGACCTGCCATTCACAAACTAGACCCCTACCCAGGGGACTTGCAGCAATCACTCATAACTCCTCTTGTTCCAGAAAGGATCTTATGAAGGTATCTCTTAGATGAAACTAACAGGTGATGAAATTAGAGTAAAGGTCGAAAGAAAAAAAGGTATGTTGGTACATAAAATGCAATCAGGGGGGTTTTGTGTGTATTTTTGAAAGATGAGCCTGAAATATCTTGTTATATGAGAAATCCAAGAAAGGCTTGTTAGGGTCATGTTAAAAACAAAACAAAATCAAACAAACAACCCAGAGGAGTGAACCTGAATAGGTTCTATGGGCCAAAGATGAGAAATTACCTTCCTCCTGATGCGGTACACAAATCTGGCTCCAAGTTTACTAGCAGGCAACATAAAGATGAAAATGCAATCTGTTACATGATTTGCAAGGTCCTTAAGATAAAAATAAACCAGTTGCTAAGGGAAAACACAAGTATTCCTGGTCTTGAGAGGAATTCCTCCCTTGGATCAGTTTCTGAAGAATCTACAGCTGGATGTTATTTTTAAAGCAATCAGGGAAAAAAAAAAAAAAAAGACACATTTCAACCTTATCTTACCAAATTTCAAAGATCTCTTGATCCTTGTTTCAAAATGTACTTTTCTAAAATGAAAAGTTGTTTAAGTGAGCTGTCTGGAAATCTTATAAAACTGTTCCCCCAAAACACCCCAGAACAAAAAACCTGCTCCAGATCGAGCTTGTACATTTGACTCCCCAGCAGCAAATGATAGTGTCAGGATTCCTTACAAAAATCATTGGCTCAGAAGCTGCCTGGTCTAATCTGCAAATTACAACACACAGGCATGTGAGCACATGCAGGCAAACATGACAACACTTACACAGCATCAAATCTGTCTCGTGCTCACGGACTCAGAACTGCCCTCACACCAGGCTGGAATTTACAGATTGGTGAATATAAATGTTCCCAGATGGTTTAGGAAATTAAGAATGACTGCAGAGTACTGTCCTCCATGTATCTTACCTTTTATTCATTCAGAGAAGCTATTATAGTCATTCAGTTCAAAATCGTGTTCCCTGCTACACAGACAAGAGTATTTGGCTCCTTGCCAGGCATGGTAGCTCATGCCTGTAAACCCAGCACTCTGGGAGGCTGAGTGGGTGGATCACCTGAGGTCAGGAGTTCGAGACCAGCCTGGCCAACATGGTGAAACACCATCTCTACTAAAAATACAAAAATTAGCTGGGCATGGTGGTGCACGTCTGTAGTCTCAGCTACTAGGGAGGCTGAGGCAAAAAAATCCCTTAAATCAGGGAGGCAGAGGTTGCAGTGAGCCAAGATTGTGCCACTGCATTCCAGCCTGGGTGACAGAGCAGACTCAGTCTCAAAAAAAAAGAAAAAGAAATAAAGTATTAAGTTCCCATGGTCAGACAAAATCTGATTCCCAAATTTGTGAGAACTCTAAGCCTCACAGCTTTCCATGTATCTGTACGTATATGTATGGGCAAGTATATGCCTGTATCTAGATCACCTTAGCTTTTATTATTAAAATGCTAATGTTTGTTCTAAAAAATGCAATCAGTGCATTTGTATGTGAGGTACTTAATGACTGTCTACCTTTTCTGTAGCACTCATGACAAGCACTACATGTTTCCACACATCAATTCAGTTTATCCTCACAACACTCCTATAGTGTATGTGCTTTTATCATCATCTCTATTTTGCAGATAAGAAAACTGAGTCAAAGAAGAGCAGAACAAATTGCTAGGGACCCAGCAGTGAGTGGCAGGGCCAGGACTGGGCCTCAACCTGATGCAAGTCTCTGCTCTCAGTCCCAGAGCCACACACTGGAACTCTGAGTGTGTACTAACTGCCGTGGACTTCCACGGGTTTCCAAGTCTCTGTCTATATGAACTGCTTAAAAACCACGATTAGCAAACAGAAACCCTAGAGTCCTGAATTTTAATTGCGAGTGTCAATATAAACTTATGATGCATATAATCACTAAACAATACCAAAAATGAAAAATCCACAGACTCACATGGCTCCTTCGACTTAAGCGGCCTCAAACAATGAACAACCCTGTGAGGTCATGAGTGACCCTAGCAGGCAGAGTCTGTTTTCTAAATACTTTTTCCTCCAATAAAAGGAACCGGGACTTCTTGGATAAACGTACAATGTGAACCCAGGATATCTTGTCATATGAGAAATCAAGAAAGCGACGAAAGACTCCTATGACCCTGTCCAAAGGATCTAGGGAACAACCTGAATAGCTTCCCACCGGCCAGGAGTGAGACACTGCATTCCTTTCAGGGGAGGTAAAAAATGCCACCTATGAATTAGTTTTGAAAAAATAACCTGATCCCAAGCAGGCCTTTAGGTCTAACTACCAATTTATAGGACACAGAGGCATGTGAAACACTTTAATGATACCACAATACCATGGGAAAGCTATTAGCAAAATTCAGACTGTGGGAAATTAACTCTGCAGGACATAGAGCCATATAACCATGTTTCTTCAATGAAAACATTTCAAGACAGAGAGAAGCGGGGAGACATAAATTGGGCAGAACTACAGAATGAAGAAACTCAGAAACAACGTAAGTGAGGATCCCACAGTCAGACTTCCATAACCCCGTTGTCAGGGCTTCCTTTCTGTATGTTGTCTATTACAAGGCAATGAAAACTGAGAGCTGCTTAATATCCACATTTGATTAACAGCACACCCATTTCTCCTTGGACATCTGTGCATCACTCACCGCTCCTCCATGAGTTCCCGGATAGAGGCGACCGTGGGGCCAGATCCCAGGTGAGTATAATACGGACCTTCATCTTTCTCCACTATTTGTTCTGCAGAAATACAAAGAGTAAACATTATTTGGAATATGAATTAGTCAATATTAATTTAGAAAGGCAAACCACCAACAAGAAAGTTAATAGGCATATCCCAAAACAGGAAACCCACATGGCTTATGAATATGTGAAAAGGTGTTCAACTCCATTAGAAATCAGAAAATACAAGTTAAAATCACAATAGAACACCATCACACATGGACCAAATTGGCAAAAATTTAAAAATCGGATAAAACCGGCTGGATGTGGTGGCTTATGCCTGTAATCCAAACACTTTGGATGCCAAGGTGGGCGGATCAGCTGAGGTTGGGAGTTCAAGACCAGCCTGACTAACCTGGTGAAATCCCATCTTAAAAAAAAAAAAAAAATCTGATAAAACCAAGTGTTGTCAAGATTGTGATCTCAGCACATTGGGATTCCGTCTACTATTATCGATGCATCCTGCATGACCCAGTAATTCCATTTCTAGACACACACTCAAGACCAGGGGTCAGCAAGCTACTCCCCTCCAGTGAGCCACCACACCCAGCCAAAAACACTTTGTAAGTGAAGGAAGCCATCCTGGGTAAATACCCAATCGAACTTATGAAGACAGAGGCTCAAATAGATACTTGTACGCCAATGTTCAGAGCAGCATTTACTCACCGCAACTAAAATGTGAAAACAACATAACTAACCATCAGCAGGTGAATGGATACATAAAATGTGTATGTCCGTATGACCAAATATTACTCAGCCAAAAAATGAATGACGTTCTGATGCATGCTATTACATGGATGAACCTTAAGAACATATGCCAAGTAAAATAAATCAGACACAAAGGACAAATCCTGTAGGAGTTTACTGATATGAATTATCTAGAAGAGGCAGATTCATAGAGACAGAAAGATTAGAGGTTAGCAGGGGCTGGGAGGAGCAGGAAATGAGGAGTTATTGCTTAATGGGACAGAGTTTCTGTTTAGGCTGATGAAGTTTTGGAAACAGAGTGGTGACAGTTGCACAATACTGTGAATCTAATTAATGCACTAAACTTTACATGTAAACGTGATTAAAATGGCAAATTTTATGTTATATACACTTTACAATTTAAATTTAAAAAGTTCTGATACATGCTACAACATGATGAACCCCAAAAACATTTTTTCTTTTGAGATGGAGTTTCAATCTTGTTGCCCAGGCTGGCGTGCAATGGCAAGACCTCGGCTCAGGCTGGAGTGCAATGGCACGACCTCGGCTCACTACAACCTCCGCCTCCGAGGTTCAAGTGATTCTCCTGCCTCAGCCTCCTGAGTAGCTGGGATTACAGGCCTGCGCCATCATACCAGTTAATTTTGTATTTTTAGTAGAGACGTGGTTTCACATGTTGTCTAGGCTGGTCTCAAACTCCTGACCTCAGGTGATCCACCTGCCTCGGCCTCCCAAAGTGCTTAGATTACAGGCGTGAGCCACCGTGCCTGTAATCTAAACACTAACAAAAACATTTTGTTAAGTGAAAGAAGCTAGATACAAGATAGGCCACACGTTGTATGATTCCATTCATATGAAATATTCAGAATAGGTAAATCTATAGAAACAAAAAGCAAATTGGTGCTTGCCAGAGGCTGGGGGTTGGGAGCAGGAATGAGGAGTAACTGCTTAATGGGTACAGGGTTTTTTTTGGAGTGATGAAAATATTTTAAAACTTGAGGGAGATGGTGGTTGTACAACATTGTGAATGTACTAAATGCCACTGAATTGTTAACTTTAAAATGGTTAATTTTATGTTATGTGAAGCTCAACTCAATTTTTAAAAAGGAACAAACCATTCAAGTAACAACATGGATGAATTTTAAATGACTTTTTCTAAGTGAATGAAAACAGACCCAAAAGGCTACATAGTAGCAGCTCTGGAAAAGAATGTTTTGGCTGGATGTTAGGAGGCTAAAAACAAAAAAAACTACATATACAGTAGTGCACCTACTATACTACAGTTGGTAAGTTTGCTTCATCTCTAGAAAGACATGACAATTAAATGTAACAGAGTATCCTACATTGGGTCCTATGACAGAAAAAGGAGCTTTAGTGGAAAAACTGATGAAATTCAAAAAGTCTATAGTTAATAATATTGGACCAAACATTAATTTCCGTGTTTTAAATATATCATAACTACATAAGACATTTATAAGCAAGAGAAGGTATATAAACGGTATATAGGAACTCTGCACTAACTTTGTAACTCTCCCATAACTGTAAAATTATTTCAAAATAAAGTATTTAAAGAGTAAAAGAAGAAAACAGTGAGCCATCATTTGCTGATCCTTAGGAGAAATCTTATTTACATAAATTGAAACCCACATACAAAGATTTTCACAGCAACACTGTCTGCAAGAATCAAAGCTGTAGACAGCCTGCTGTGGACTGAAAGTTTGTGCCCCTCCCAAAATTGTATGTTGAAGCCTAATCCCCAGTGGGATAGCATTTGGAGGTAGGGCTTTGGGAGGTAATTAGGTCAAGAGGGTGGTGCCCTCCTGAATGGGGTTAGTGTCCTTATAGGAAGGGATACAAGAGAGGTTGCTTCCCTCCCCTTTTCCTCTCTCCTCTTGCCCATGTGAGAATTTTTTTTTTTTTTTTTTTTTTTTTTTTTTTTTTGAGACAAGGCCTTGCTCTGTTGTCCAGGCTGGAGTGCAATGGCACAATCACAGCTCACTGCAGCTTTGACCTCCCAGGCTCAAGTGATCCTCCCCCATCAGCCTCCTGAGTAGCTGGGACCATAGGTGAACACCACCACACCTGGCAAATTTTTATATTTTTTTGTAGAGACAGGGTTTTGCCATGTTGCCCAGGCTAATCTCCAACTCCAGGGCTCAAGTGATCTGTCTGCCTTGGCCTCCCAAAGTGCTAGGATTACATACAGGCTTGAGCCACCAGGCCTGGCCAGTATTTTTGTTAAAGTAGTCCAAATAAAGACACAACCCATAATCCGGCAACAGTGGAATAGATCTCTCTTGAAATGCAGTAGTCATTATTATGAAATATATTCAGCAATGAAAATCAGAAACCTGCAACATCGTGATTGACTACAACAGCACAGTGAGTGAAAGCACAATGCAGATGATGTGGTCCAGCTGTGTCCCCACCCAAATCTCCTCTTGAATTGTAGCTCCTATAACTCCATGTTTTGGGGGGAGATAACTGAATCATGGGGGTGGTTTCTCTCATACTGTCCTCCTGGTAGTAAGTCAGTCTCATGAGATCTGATGGTTTTATAAGGGAAAACCCCTTTCACTTGGCTCTCATTCTCTCTTGTCTGCTGCCATGTAAGACATGCCTTTCACCATGATTGTGAGGCCTCTCCAGCCACGTGGGTCCATTAAACCCTTTTTTTTTTTTGAGACAGAGTCTCGGTCTGTCACCAGGTTGGCATGCCGTGGCGTGATCTGGGCTAACTGCAACCTCCGCCTCCTGGGTTCAAGCAATTCCCCTGCCTCAGCCTCCTGAGTAGCTGGGATTACAGGCACACGCCACTACACCCAACTAATTTTTTGTATTTTTAGTAGGGAGGGCGGTTTCACCATGTTGGCCAGGATCATCTCAATCTCCTGACCTCGTGATCTACCCACCTCGGCCTTCCAAAGTGCTGGGATTACAGGTGTGAGCCACTGCGCACTGCCTTTTTCTTTACATAACAGTAACATGAAAACAGACTAATACAGCAGAATACTGTTAAGATTCCATTTAAATGATATTCAATAACAGGCTCAAACTATACTGTTTAGAGATCCATACATAGCTGGTAAAAATTACTAGGTTAAAAATATGAAATTTCAAAAAGTCAATGATTTTTGACCTACCAAAAAATGATAATTTTATATGATTCAACCTTAACATAAAAAAAAAGCAAGGAAATCACTGTCATGAAAGTTAAGAGAATAGTTACTTTTGGGAGATGGAAGAGGAATGTGACTAGAAAGGCATACAGGTCTGGGCATGGTGGCTCACGCCTGTAATTCCAGTACCTTGGGAGATCGAGGTGACAGGATCACTTGAGTCCAGGAGTTTAAGACCAGCCTGGACAACATAGTGAGACCCTGTCTCTACAAACAAACAACAACAAAAACCTAGCAAGGCTTGTTGGTGTATGCCTACAGTCCCAGCTACTTGGAAAGCTGAGGCAGAAGGATCGCTAGATGCGAGGAGTTCAAGGCTGCTGCACTCCACCACTGCACTCTTGCCTGGGTGACGGAGCAAGACCCTCCCTGCATCAAGGAAAATAAATAAATAAGAAAGGGCACAAAAATAAAAAATAAAGAAAAAAAAATAGAAGAAAGGGCATAGAGGTGACTCCTGGGGCGCTAGAAGTAGCCTATTTCTTCATCTAGGTGGTGGTTACACAGGTGTTCATTTTATAAAATTTCATTGAACTTTCCGTGAATTATTTTCCTATGTAAACAAATCACAACTTGGTTAAATGTAAAAACTTAATTTCATCCCCATTTTATTCAGATCATTATGCTCAGCTTTATGGGGGATACAAGATAGAGTAATACCTGATTGTTGCCTTTAAACAGTATATGATCTAGCCAGGTGGACAAGACCCACACATAAGATACCCAATGGCATTTTCTATCAATAGGGCAAGATCAAACTTTCAATGCATAGTGTTAGGATAACTGGGGTGGGGTCGGGGGGGGGGAGTTTGAGCCATACTTAATACCTTATCCCCCAAATCCATTCCAAATGGCTGAAAGATTAAAATACAAAAACTGTACATGTACTAGAAAGAAAAAAATGGAAGTTTAAAAAAATCATCATGAAGGGTCTTCTCTAAGTATAACATAAAATTCTGAAGCCACTCCCAAAAATAAATAAAACCCTGATAAATCAACTAAGAACACGGTAATAACTACTGAAAGCGAAGCTGAAAGACAAACACCACACTGGGAAGAGAGATCTGGAACTCACATCAATCAAAAGGCTAATTTCCTTAATAGATCAAGAGCTACTGCAGCTAAACAAAG